GAATTTTTAAAATAAAAAAAAGCAAGAACGGCACGCTAGATCTCATCTTTAACTGATAAAAGTGATATTTATTACCACAACAGATTTAGGCATCGCAGGCTTGAACATAGCGCTGAAGTCTAGCAATCTCTTTTCATAGTGTCTGAAAAGCACTTTCTCTTCTTGATCATCAAGAAACATGGATTCATTTATTCCAGGCTGAAAAACAGATAAAGTCAAAGTGTGATTGATGTTTATGCTGATAACACTATAAATGACTGGATTACTGTAAGATAGATAGATAGATAGATAGATAGATAGATAGATAGGGAAAATAAAGCTTGACAAGAAAAAGCATTTCAAATGTGAGTCTTTGGTTAAATGAAAAACAAATAAAATTAATAAAATAATTTAATTTTAAAATGATCAAAATGGCAAAATGAGAAAATAAGAGATAAAACATTTAAAAAACATCAAGAGAGTTTTACACGTATCCCAAGTGCATAAAAATATTTTTGTCTAAAATGCCATCTAGTTTCCATCCAAAGTTCAGATTACTAACCGAAATCTATACATAACTTGACCTTAAAAAAATTAATAAATAACATATATAAAATGTATAAATATTTATAAATAAATAAATAAACATTTCCCCTTCTAATTTAATCTGCCATCTGTTCAATTTACGTAACAGCATTTTTTTTTTTTTTTATGTACTGAAAAAAATGTTTCCACATCCACAATGGATATAAGACTACATGATATAAAGCTGTAAACGCTAATCAGAAAGAAGCACAATTTGCTATACTACTGTACTACTTTTGATAAATCCATAAAGCTTATTTGACTGGGGTTTATAGTGTGAATAATTCCTTTTTTGACAAATCTCAGACCTTTTATCCTTTAAAATCACCTTTAAACGACTCACTGGAATCGCAAAAGACCCGATTATATTAAGTAATTGAGTCAATGATTAACAAAAGAAACTATCAGCTGGATTGATTTACAATCCACTACTGATCTCTCTGAAACTTACCCGCCGGGGTTAAAGCTCTTTGGGCACCAGGGTTTAAAGTTCAAAATACAGCGTAAGCACGAGATACATCTATCCTCTTAGAGAGCCTTATGCCACCCTCCGAACCATATGCAACCACTGAGTTGATTAGATATTAGAGCATTTTGGCTGCCGCCACATGTGGTTTCTAATGGGATCATACTGCCTTAACAAACAGTTGCTAGTCTTAAAGAGCATATAAAGTAGTGCTGCTTTTAATCCCCCCAAAAACATCCCTAAATGGGGGATAGAGAGCTCAGTGGCATTTAGAATCGCACCCGTCTCTTGCCAAAAATGGAAACCAGGCTTTGAGGGGTTAGAGTGTGCTTGCCGATGCGTTCATACCATGCCAAACTCCGGCATAATGTCGCAGAGGTCTACTTTGGCGCTGTACGAATGCGAAGGCATAATGCTAGCGCACAACCTAAATTTTGATTCTGTTTGTGCAGATAATTATAGTTTTTATGCATGCTGCTTGAGGAAAGGGTGGATAATCTCGTCTGTTTTATTTTTGGAATTGCATCCAATTGTATGCGTGTCGAATGTTACAGCACTGATTCTTGAGAAATGAAACGTGTCCCACACTTTTAAGTCAACATTGATATTAATCAGAACGGATTACTAGAATGTTCTTTACACAAATTAGCCATTTCATCCGAGTTATATTTTCACTCACCAAGCCACTCTCTGTAAAAAAATAACTGACATGTAAATATGTATCTTTAAAAAAAATGATATTCATTAAAAAATACACATACACTGCAAAAAATAATTTTCTGACTCAAATATTTCAGTACAAATATTTTAACATTCATTAATCAAGATACATTTACTTGAGAAGTAAAATCAGGTTAGTCTTCATCCTGAATGTTTTATTTTTCTATATTTCTATTATAGGAACTCCAGAAAAACAAAACGACTACAAAACATCTGGGACTAAATGTGATAATTTTGTCAACAACCTCAGATTTTCCATGAGATGCCGCTGACATTATAAAAGATGGAGCTGAAAATCAGTTTGAAACCATCCTGTAGTCTCAATTTACTCTTAATCATAGTTGAATGCTCCATTTATTATAAATATCCAAAATGACAGTACTTATTATGTTTGTATCTGATGGTGTTGACCCATACAGAGCGATAGGAAAGGGAAAAAATGGAAGTAGTAGGAGGTTGCACCAAAACATAAACAAATTTAACTTTAATCATTTTAATTTCTGATCTCAAGAATCAGTAGCCCACCAATAATGCAAAAACAAGCAGGAACATGAAGCATCTGGACGCCCAAACCCAATAGATTCCACAACGAATGCACTTAAAAGCGTCCGATTTTCCTGATTTTCTCGCTTTTGTCAGCAGTTTGAGGTGTGAAAACCCAAAGCGGTCCAGCGCAGATGAAAAGTTCGCCAGTTATGCTAAGACACAATTAACAGAGCAGATGATTAGGAGTTCTCTGCCATCCAGATGGAGATACAGCCCTGACCAAAAAAATTAAAAATACAGAACAGTGAGAAAAAAAAAAAAAGACTGGAGCGAACAAGGACGAAAAATGCTTGGATGCAGAGAGTGGTTTGTATTTTGGAACAGGTGAATGGTTTATACTCCAGAATAACCATTACCATTGTGTGTATGGAGACCAGAAGCTTGGCTGGAGTCACACACACAACAGCACCAAATGGAAGCCTTACACCCCTTTCATTTCTCCCCTGCCTTTCCTTTTCCCTTTTTTTCCTCATGAAATTCACATACCCCTCTCGTCCCCCTACAGATCCATTAATTCCGCTACGGTCCCAGTCGCCATCCACTCCCAGTCACACCCCACGCATTATGTCTTTGAATTGTTTTCTTTTCCACCAGCACTTCTTCAGTAGTGCACTTTGGCAAAACGCAAAGCAAACATGTTGCAAGACAGCAGGGAAATATGACAAATGAGATTTTTTTTCTACTGCAACTTCAGAAAATAATACTACAAATTCGAAGAAGGAGGAGGGGGGGAAATAAAAGGTTATGATTATTGTGGGTAATATGAAATCAGAGAAACAAATAAATTCCATTTCCAATGATGCTGTTCAATTTATTGAGCTATTTTGTTGTCCATTTAACAACCCACATGTGTCCAATAATGAGCCGCACACATTATGCCTAATTATGTATATTTGGGCTGCGTTCGATGGTCTAACAAAAGCTTTCGAAAGGGACAATTACGTTTGTTGCTTGGTTACATCGTTAAAAATATACCAAATAAGTGCAGATTATAGGGGTGTGGAGGTACATATGTAAAGCATGGGTATTGTTGCCAACATGCTCATAATTTGATTCATTAGGAGATGGCAGCATTTTGTTTCTAGAAAGGAGACTGCTTTAAAACGTAATATCGACTTTAACGTTTCCGTGCCTTCGTTGCCAAAAATGTTTTGTTGTTGGAGTGTATGATCACTCTCTTTTGTCAACGAGGCGCAATATAATTTGGTGCATTCTATTCTCAGTTACCCTATTTGCATAATTATGCAAGCAACCACACTTGCTTATAAAAAAGCACTTTTCCAGGCTGCATAATCATCCCGGCGGCAGCTACTTTAACGCCACCGCCAGTTTTTAATCCGGGTTTCAAAGAAGTCGAGCGCAGGAAATCGCCTTAATCTGGACACCGGATGCATGAAACAACGAACGGGAATCGACTGTCGTGAACTTCCCCGGGATAGACGAAGAGACGGATGCGGGGAGGGAGAGGGGAGAGGAGGAGGAGGAGGAGGGAAACAAATATATGAATGCAACAGATGGTAGTTTAAAATTCAGCGTCAATTGTTCATCAAAACAGACAAAACAACAGGACATCTGTCTACCTGCTGGAGTGTCAGTGTTCCTGGGCACGTCTTTGTCCTGAGCGCTTGCCAGGTCTTCCTCGCCGTCCCCCTCGCTGGGGCAGGGACTGGGACTGTAGTGGCGGGGCTTCATCAGGAGCGATTTCCTCTTGTTGACTGGCGCCCCGCGGGCCCCTTCTGCGGCCGCCCGCTTTTTACCCGCTCCGAGATGCAAGCTGAAAGCAGAACACAAGGGTCATTAAATGGATGCGTCGTGTCACAAATCAACTGAGTACGTGATTGGTTGAGGTACAAAGATCTGCCCCGAGAGGTTTTGATTCTTTCCGAGGTCAAAGCTTTGTTTAGACACTTTGAAGTCTTGAAGGTTTTGCCAATATTGACTCTTACAACTAAAAACGGTTCTTTCAGCAAAGAAAAATCTTGTTATAAGGTTCTTGAGTAGCTATATGATGCTTTAAAGAGTAAAAAATTATGTTGCACATTCATAAAATGTGCAAAAAGATGCATTTACCTGAATACAGTTCAAAAAAGTTCAGGATCGGTATAATTTGTACTAATATTTTTATTATTTCTTAAAGTATTTATTTTATACATTAAACTGATTCAAAGTGACAGTAAAAACTTAAAATGTTACAAAATTCTATTTCAAGTAGGTGCTGTTCTTTTGAACATTCTATTTGTCTAAGAATTCCGAAAAAAAAATGTATCAAGGTTTTCACAAAAATATTAAGCAGCACAACTGTTTTCAACACTGATAATAATAAAAAATGTTTTTTGAGCAGCAGATCAGCATATAAAAATAATTTCTGAAGGATCATTTGACTCTGAAGACTGGAGTAATGATGCTGAAAATTCAACTTTGCCATCATATAATAAATTACATTTTAAAATATATCCAATTAGAAAACAGTTATTTTAATTTATAATAATGTTTAATAATATTACTGTTTTTACTGTATTTTTTTAAATAAATGAAAATAGACTTCTTTCAGACCCCAATTGAATTGGATTAACAATGGTGTTTCTTAATTCACATTTCTGGTCTTACTGTAAATTATTAGTTGGGACACATTATTCCAAAGACAAAAATATAATCACTAATAATTCAACCTCTGAACCGACTTTCCATTTTGGCCTTCTTATTTTTCAATCCCTCCCCTCCAACCACTTTTCACCATCCAATCAAATCAATTCCCGATGGATCAAATCAAGCCTCTCCCTGCATTTTGTCTCACTGAGCATCCTGTTTCACACACACACAAAAAAAAATGTCATGGAAGTAAAATGGGTGGCGAAATGCATTTTGTGCTCGTTGGGGCAGCGAGTTTGTTACAAAACTCATCAGGGCAGCATCTGAAATTCCCTGCAAGATGTGACTAAGAAAATCAGCATCGCAGATCCTCATGTGTGAACTTGTGTGTGAACACAGAGTCCAAAACACTCAAGCATGAACTGGCTCATTATTTTCAATGAGAAATCTGTTGCTATTATCAGCTATCACGCTGCATAATAAGTAATGATACAGAGAATAAAATGTTTGCTGTAGGCCGATAACATAAAAAAGGTTAGTGTAGCGTTTGACACAAAATGCACAAAACAACTTGCACTGCATTAAGATAAAGACA